TGTTGTAAAAAATGTTTTACAGATGTGGATTTTTAAGATGATGCTGGGCTTTGAATGGAATGGCGCTGTAATGTCCAGCTGAGTGCGCTGGTGTGGTACAACCCCAAATAAAGTATCCGTCTTCCATTTGGGCCTTTTTGACACCAGATCCGAGTTTCTGCACTGTAACAGATTTTGTAAGCGTGGTGTTAAGCTATGGATGGTGTTGCAATTGCATTTTCAGTCAGTAATGCAGACACTGAGAGGTGTTTATAGGGGGGAAGCATAACTGTTGACAACAGGCACCATGTGTGCAAAGTTATGGGGAAGAAGGGGATCATGTGTGCCTTTAATGCAAAATAGAATATCAATAATCCATCTACTGTGTAAAAGAGACGTATGTATATACAGTACTGTGTGCATGAAATTAAACTGACTTTCATTAGATCGAACAAATTCCTTCATGACCATAACATCCTATTATGTAATACAAATCACTATCAGCATCGTCACAACACACTAATTCCCTTTATGTGGCTGGTAGCAGGTGTGGTGATGTGTTTTTCACTGTAGCAATTCCATTAAAGGCTGCAGACTAGCTGGAGACAGACAGACTCAATGCTGCCCATAAACATTGAAAGTCTTGGCTGGTACACTAAAATCCTAATTGGAGAATTTGATCCACTTCACCAATAATCACTTTAATAGCTTATAAATTATCCTGTAATATGTGAATTGTACACAGGAGATTCAGGTCTCATAGTTCGCTTGTCTGTGTGCTTTGTGTTCCCCTGAGTTCACTCCTTTATGGTGGTACTGTGCACATTTGTTCAGCATTCAAAATGAGCACAAAATGAGCAGTGCAAAGTGATCTTTATTCTTGTGTCAATTATCTGTAGATATAAAGAAACAACAGCAATGCAAAACAATTTTCTCGGCCCTGTGAAACAAAGTCTCCACAGCCACACAATGCCTTTAAATAGTCGTGTTGCTGTTGCGCAGCCGCCCATTTCCCGTAAAGCCAAGGGGTGGGCTCTCTGTGTTCTCACCGCCCCTGAGCCATGTCCCTAACATCTACATGTCCCACATCATCTAATTCACAGCACAGGCAAATTAAGGAGATTTATGAGAATCAAACATCAAAAAAGGAGACAGTGAAGAAAACTGAGCACACCGCAAGTTTTATTCAAAACACATGCCAAAGATGACAAGCAAGAAAGACTGAAGGATGAGGTTGTAGAGAGTTAAAAAAGACAAACAAACACAAAAAGCTATATTCTACTCTGGGAACAATGCTGGGACCAGATGCATCATGGGAAGAGATGTCTGTGCTATGGATCCCTGCATTTCAATATGTCGTGTTAGGAAAAATAAAAGTGCATTTAAAAAAAAAGGTGAACATCGCAAACACTCTACAACCTGCACATTGACCGCTGTTACATAAAGGATTTTCAGAAATACTGGAGGAAAAACTGGTGGGGGAGAAATTAGCTTCAGACAATCCTTTCCAACCCTGCTACCATAAAAACTCCTGAAATCTCTTTGCATTCCTAATTCAAATGAACGTGTGGCGTTATCGAATGCAGAACTGCCGCCTCTCTAAACAGGGAGAAAACACAGCAAATAATCTGGAAACACTTGAGCTCTTTTTATACTCCTGACATTAAAATCTGAGCATGGCCAAGGGCCAAACACACCCAGAGACATTTTGGACTAATTGTTTCCTTCAGTCTCCCCCTTCAGTGTGTTCAAAATTCCCTTCCATGAAATCCCTCCCCTGCACCTCTTTGCATCTAGTAATGGGTTTGAATAAAACCTCCAATTGGTCCAGTAAACCCCTCATTATGGTGTTTTAATAGAATGAATTTAGGATACTGTGGGGTCAAAGGTCAACATGAGGTCCTAACATGCAGCAGCTGTCATGGGGGCTGCACTGTGATTAGAACCAGGGGAGTCAGACATCCCTGGGTCCTGGACTTCACTAAGTAGACAACCTGGTAAATGCATTTGGTCAAAAACCAAAATGGAAAACATCCACCAGTCAAAGTCCAGGAAAGGTGTGATGAGTAGAGGGGCAGATGAGTGTGTGCACGTCACTGAGGGGTTTACGTTAATGTGTGAAGTTGACTGGAAAATCCTTTTAATCTTTTCACATAAAAGAATCACAGTGCCAATTCCAGGCCTCAAAATCTCCAGGATTTCTTAACCAAGCTGTCCTGTCTGAAACCTGCATACCAGCCTTCCACTTGTAGTTACTGCAACTGTAAATTCTCCACTAATTACCTTCTTTCAGAGTGTGTGAAACCAAAGATAGAAGTGGTCTGGCTGATGTGGTGTGGGGGTGAAATATGGTTTGTTAGCAGCCCAGGAGTTTACTTCACATGTGGTTATTCAGTGGTTTGAATTGTCTGGGTGAGAAGGAGGGCATGCCACTCTCTACAGTTCACTAAGTTTATGCTGTGCAATAAGAGAGATTATTTAACAAAATGAATGCCTGCTGTTTGGGTGAGCTTTGGGTTATGGTGCTGTGGTGGCTTTAGAGACAGCTGTTATTCATACGGGAAATCCTATAGAATATCTGTCAAGCTTCTTCTGGAGCAGATTCTATGAATCATGTACAAAAATATGGATCAGAATGTGTTCTGTGAAGCTGACAGAAAAACATTTTTTATATGACCATAAGCTTGATATACTGATGGAATTCTTATCAGATTTCTAAGATCTTTACACATCTGAATCCTTCTATATGGAAAAATGCTTTGGCAATGTAGCTGCTCCGTATGCTCTGTCCAATAACTTGGCCTTGAGTTTAGAAATATGCCTTATTGTATTAAAACACAGAAGCAGACACAAAAGGGAGCAAGATTCTTGTGGGTGACTGTGTAATTGAATTTTGTATGCATATTAGAAGCCAGGGAGTATAATTTACATGTGAAGTTGAAGTGACTTGAGCTCAGGAGAAATAGGCAAACATGCTCTGCTCCAGCCCCCTCCAAAAAATCTGAAATTTTTTACCATGGTCTTCCATTTGAGTTGCATCTCACAAAAATAGGAAAATTAAAACCTTCCTTAACTTTGAAGGACACATGAAGTTCATGTGCGGTTACATATCCTCTGTTGCTCCTTGCTTCTCTAATCATGAGCCCAAAGCCCACAAACTCTGGCCAGAGTTTTCCCCCACAAGACAAGGCAGGACTCAATATAATCCATCATTTTTTTCTTCTCTCATCCTGCCCTCACAAAAATAGACACACTGTCCTAGCTTAGTTTCACTTGACATGAGCTGTCACTTTATTGGATTCATTATATTTTGTTATGAGTGTAGGTCTACCTGTGCTGAAGAGACACAACTAAAGATCTGCTGGGCATTTGATTAGAATAAATATAACAGGTTTCACTTCTTTGGTGTTTTTTGCCTGATACATAGTCCAGAAATTCCAGCGTAAATGCTCCAATGGTAAAAAATATGTAATACACATATGCAAGTCAACAGATTTTACTGTCTGCATAGAAAACACGGACACACTCTCGGTTTACTGAGTTCACTTTACCACTTGCAGATCAACTGTTGTCCCCCCCCACACACACACTCACACACAGGCTAATACACGTACACAAACACACTGAACTTGACCCGGGAGCTTTGACAGCAGCTGCTCGGAAGGAAAGGAGCACAGCAGAGGTGACCAAGTGAATGTTTTGTGTATAATTTATGACTTATATTTGAGAAATAAAAGCGTTTAATTTGTTCTACATTTGTCATTGTCCTTTTGAAGACATCAAGACATCATCGTTTTTTTCAAACAAACTAGTGAAGTGATTTTTCTCCTTAAAGCTAGAGTCAATAAAAGACGTCCTCTTACCTTAAGATGGGGGTCATCGCTGTACCTTAAGTAAACTATGCATGTAAAAGCAATAGTTTTAGAGTAACTCTCCTCTTCCCTCAGCCTCCAACAGTGTGCATGGAAAAGAAGCAAACTGCCAGCCAACACCTGTCTTTTCATGGGGAGGTCAGTGATAAAATCATCCCACAATACATAGACAAAGACACCTTTAACAAAGGCAATGATTCCATCTACCTGCCTATCTCCCCTGCTCTCTGTAATTAATCTTCAGTACCATGAAGAGGATACTTCCAAGCTGATGGAAGTGCCTTACGAATCACCGAGAGTAACCAGATAAAATCCCTGTAACGTTGAATGTATTATCAGAGCCTAGGAACAGATTTGCAGGTCCGTCAAATGTAGACTTCTCTTTTTAATTGTACTGGCACCCACATTTTTTAACAAGGGACATTCTTTTCAAATTTAAATGAAATTCTTCGTAGAATTACCCACAACAGCTTAAAATGAAGCCATACATGGAAGGATTTCGGTCACACTCCAAGCCTTCCTAAAGCAGCATTAAAGGATTGCCTGATGCAAATATTTAAAATGATTCACTCAGAAAGACTGAAATTCTAGTACCAAATCTTTCTTGAGGGATGGGGTCTGAAATCTGTCAAACATGACTTTTATAGGCATACCATGCAAATCTGCATTAGTTTGTTTCAAGCTATTTTGTTTTTTAAGTTTTAAAAGTACATATTATAAAAAATGGTTCATTTACAGTATTCCTGTTTTTTTTATTTTACTTGGAGAATGCCGCCACTTTTCCTGAGAGTCTATTTTAAAATTTGTATTATTCAGATTTCATATGATCATTTTGCCACTATAAAGAAATAACAAATTAATTATTAGTATTCAGAGGAGATACCAATGCTTCAAGTTTTATGGAAATGTTTAAATCTTATTTCCATGTTCATTCTATGAATTTTTATGTGCATAAATGAAAAATAATAAAGAACTGTTAATAAAGAAAACAATTTATGTATGTTTCGCAACAGCATCATAAACTGTGGCAGAGTATCTGTCACAGTATGTGCAACTTCAACTGAAAACATAAAACGCCATTAAAAAAAAAAAATCATGATAAAAGCCCATAAAAACTTCAACCAATCGAGAATAAGTGGTGACAAGTTCCAGCCAATCACAGGCGGAAGGTGGGGTGACAGATTTAAAAGTCCAGCTCAAGTTGTTGTAACATGTAGCTTCTCAGCTCATATAGTGAACCACAACTTTCACGACCGCACTCCCGGCCAGAGCTTTGGAAAACGACACAAACAAACAGGAAAAACAACGGGCTCGTGCTGACTGCAGCGGTTCACGGAATTTACTGTTGCGCGCCGTGCGTAAAAAGCGCACCGACGGCTCAGATGAGAGCTTGACCTTATCGCCAATTTTAGAATTTTTTTTACGGATTTTTCTTTATTTGGGACTGAACGAATAATGTTAAAAATGACAGATGAGCATGACAAGTGTGTCAGCGACCAGCCGTGCAGCCCATCCGGGACCAACAGTTCCATGTCCCAAGATGATTCCGATTCCGATGCTCCGTCCTCGCCCACGGGCTCCGACGGCCATGGATCCCTGCTCACCGGTTTAGGCAAGAAGCTGGACTCCGAGGATGATGAACGATTTCCTGCTTGCATACGGGACGCAGTTTCTCAAGTCCTCAAGGGATACGATTGGTCCTTGGTGCCTATGCCCGTGAGAGGGAACGGGTCTCTGAAGAATAAGCCGCACGTCAAGAGACCCATGAATGCCTTCATGGTCTGGGCGCAGGCGGCCCGCAGAAAGCTGGCGGATCAGTATCCACACCTGCACAACGCAGAACTGAGCAAGACGCTGGGGAAACTTTGGCGGTAAGGAAACAATTGAGTTTTCTTCATAATAATATGAAATATCTAGTTTAGGATTAAACCAAGTTACCACAAAGGCAATAAGTGAAGCTGGCTACAGACTGGACAGGGAAAGAGTAATAAATTGTAATTAATTTCTTAGGTTACATTTTCAGAATTTGAATAATTTTCTATAAAATGGTTCATAAGACTGCCTGTAGGAGAAAATCTTGCATGTTTTCTTTGTATGCTCCCAACCCACTGACAATTAAAAGCAGATCTTTAACTTGATTAATTTTACCTTTAGAATTGTAGCTTATTGTGAATACTTTGCAACGTATTACATGCATGTTTTTCTACCACTAGCTTGCTTTCGGAGAGTGAGAAGAGGCCATTTGTAGATGAAGCAGAGAGACTGCGTGTACAGCACAAAAAGGATCATCCAGACTACAAGTACCAGCCACGCCGGCGGAAAAATGTCAAACCGGGCCAGAGCGACTCAGACTCAGGGGCAGAACTGGCACATCATATGTATAAAGCTGAGCCAGGAATGGGAGGACTGGCCGGGATGACTGATGGACACCACCACTCTGAACATGCAGGTATGAAAATGTAATGCGAGAAATGACAGTCATAACACAATTACTTAGGTTTTACTTTAGGTCTTACAAGTCGAATTGTTTCAGGGGGATTCAAAAACTTTTTTAATCATCTATTTAATCATCTACTTTACAATTTCCCTCCAGGGCAGCCCCACGGTCCCCCTACACCGCCAACCACCCCTAAAACAGACCTCCACCATGGAGCGAAGCAGGATCTGAAACATGACAGCCGACGTCTGGTTGACAGTAGCCGACAAAACATCGATTTCAGCAACGTCGACATCTCTGAGCTGAGCACCGATGTCATCAGCAACATGGAGACCTTCGACGTTCATGAGTTTGACCAGTACCTCCCGTTAAATGGCCACTCCTCAGGTTCCTCCACACTGTCCTCCGACCACAGCCACGGGCCGGCCACTCTGCCCAGCAGCTCCTACGCTTCCTCATACAGCCACGCAGGCAACAACGGGTCATCCTGGAGCCGAAAGAGCGCCATGTCCTCTTCTTCTCCCTCCGCCGGTGAGGTGGGCCAGCACCGTCTCCACATTAAAACGGAGCAGCTGAGCCCCAGCCATTACAGCGAGCACTCCCATGGGTCGCCCTCTAACTCCGATTACGGCTCCTACAGTAGCCAGGCCTGTGTCACCTCGGCCACGTCAGCTGCAGCCTCTTTCCCCAGCTCCCAGTGTGACTATACTGACCTCCAGAGCTCCAACTATTACAACCCTTACTCCGGCTACCCCTCTAGCCTCTACCAGTACCCCTACTTTCACTCATCCAGGCGAGCCTATGGCAGCCCAATTCTCAATAGTCTGTCCATGGCTCCGGCGCACAGTCCCACCGCCTCCAGCTGGGACCAGCCCGTCTACACCACGCTGTCTCGACCATAAAAGGGGACCCGAAACAGTCCGCCAGAGACTCATTCAATTTGATGCACTACTAATGAAGGACATAAGTTAATGATGGAGAATTGTATAGGGGCTCGTAGGCTGCCTGTGACCATTTGAACGTAAAACATACTCAAGAAAAAGTGCCTGCTGATTTTATACAAAGTTCTATTGTTGTGATGAAAACACACTTGTACAGACTTTTTTTTCACAAAGAGAAATTGTGATGTTGGTGAGCCAAACTCCTCCATGAGGACCTACCATCTAAGCCTACATCCCATGCATCCCCTTAATTTTTAGTTTGTAAGATTGCACGTAGGTGCATGGTTATAGGTAAAGCAAAGACCTGCTTCTGAATTGCAGGATTCACAAGTTTGGCCAACTGTGTGCTGTGCAGAATGTACTCGGGACCAGTCACGTGAATTCACAGTAACATTTACATTTATGGCCAGAGCTATAAAACAGCACACTATTTGCATCAGTGGTTCAGTCTTAAGTAAATGGCTCTGAATTAATCTAATGTCTTATTTGTATTTATGTCCATACATTATTGGTTTTTGTTTTTCAGTAGATGAACACATGTAATGTTGGTATGGTTATTTAGCATACCGCTTTAATGACTTTTAAGGTCAAGAGAAGTAAAGGACACTACAAATATAATGCAGTTGATGTTATTCCGTTGAAGACCAACCTATAGAAACATTTTCATTCCAAGTTGAAAGCAAACAGACAGGACCAACAGACTTGCACAGGACACAACAGGTGTTTGAAATCTATGCTTGGCAAATTGCGATTAGTCATGATCTAGGCTTAAAGGAAATGGGGTAAAATAACACCATACTCTGTGAGTGACATGTCAGCTGGACCTGCTGTATATGCCGATGGACAACACAAGAATATGTGAACGTTCATGCGTGTGTATCTAGGAGATAACGTGGCATCACACATGTGCATGTGTTAGCCATTTCCTGGGAAGGGATACGGATCCCATGACACGATACACACCAAATGAAACAACTTTTTTTTTTCCAGTAACAATATCTGAACTTTATCTGTAACTCCAGTGAGAGTATTTGGATACAAGTCAGAGTTAATGGTGTCCATATTTATCTTGTCAACCATCAAGTGCCAACTCACTGCTGCAGTCTTGCATAAAATGATTTTTGTGCCTTTTATTGCTTTTTGTCAGTATTTCGAATTGAAATGTAATTATTAACAAACTTCAGGCATCACACAATCCAAACACAGACTCAAACAGTTAACTCGCTCCTCATCATGTCCTTAATTTGAAATCATTCCTTACAGCCTTATTTCGTTATGTTTTATGACATGCTAAATGAAATATGTGCGGAGTGGAAAGCTCCAAGTTTTGTCCACAGAACAGCATTTTGTATATCATTACGGTGTATGACTTTCTGAAAAAGGCTGTGAAAATAATTGTTGTTCTATTAACTAGACTTTCACTCGCACATGCACAGCTAACTCATCCGCTGACCGTTTTTAAAAAGAATAAAATATACTTTTTCTTGATGTTTGTATTTGTCATTCTTATTTACGATCACGTTTAGTTTCAGCTTGTTGTTGAATACAATATATTTGGAAATGATTTGTGACAAAATAAAAACATTGAAATGATTTGTTTGGTTTGCTTTGTGCTGCATAAGAGTAGTTCATTTGAATTTCTGAGTGACGCATTTGCACTTAGTGCCATAGGGAAAGAATGAGACATGTGGGGAGTTATCGTTTTCGGTCTGATCACTGAATAATTTCACATTCTAATGGGTGGCTGGGCAAGTTTAGATTAATCATAAATTACTATTTTGCTGTTAAATTCCTGGCAGAAGACAGCAATGTCGTTTTTGGAATTTACATTTTTCTGTCTTTCTATGAATTCAGTAAATGTTAAAAGACTATTTATTAACATAGCCAAGTTCAGATTTTTTCATAAAACCACCAAGAAGAAAGGAATGAGGAGAGATCCCATCTCCTCTGGTCCAGTGGGTAGAATGCTCACTCTGGCCCTGGCATGCATGCCAAGCAGCCTTCCCTAACCAGTCCAGGGAGAAGCCAAATGCCAGAGCCGCGCTGCTGAATTTTAATGATTCATTATGCTGTGGAGGGGCCCCATTGTGTCCCTTTATCCGGACCGCTAGAAAGGAATTAATTGGACAGAAAATGGAAGGGCAAGGGGAACTGACAAACCATTAAGAGGGTCCTGAATGGATGATGAGATGCACATGGGGGAGGATCCCCGGCACCCTCCACCCCCCTCGCTGTCTCATATCACAGCACTCCACAAACAAAAAAACAACAAGAACAACAACCACAATGACCACCAGACCAAATTGCAGAAATAATATCAGCGCACATAATCTGTAGATAATAAAAGAAGATAATACCACAGCAGATGGGGTGTGGGTGGCTCAAGAACGAGTTGTTGTTTTTCTTCCCTCAAACTCTTTTTTTCACAAGTGTTTGCCAAATACTTTCAGGAGGAACTCTTGAGAAAGAACAGGAGTGAATAAAAGTGAGGTAAAAAGGCTCTTCAGGGTGCTTGGGTCCGGTTTCCCTGGAACTTGTCCACATTTTCTGATTGGGACTCTTGAAAGCCCAATTGCAAATAGCTCAGAAATGAACTGCGGAGGGGAACTTCACAGTGAGTTAATTTAGCACTGTATACGGAATGAATGAACACACATTACATGAATTAAAGTGCAGTAGTAACTGTGCCTAAAGTGTTTATACATCAGTACATAATATTTCAAATCCGTTGCACACAAAAACTGCTTCAGTGGTCTGTCCATTGTCTGCCGATATTCTCACACACCAAAACCACCAGAAGAAATAAAAACGTTATATACAAATACATTTTTTCACTGCCATTTTATGGCCGTATTTCATTTCCATCTGTCACACTTATTGTTGATGGAGGGCTGGGCGTTACTGGAAAAGGGAGTTGTGGGTTGCCAGAACATGAAAGGACAATTAAAACTATGGACCCAGGGAAACTGGTGCTTCTACCACCTGACCACATCACATTGTTAGGAATGGGACACCTCGCCTAGTAATAGTCTCATCCTGTCTAATGAGCCTGGCAGACCCAGGGCATGTTTTACTGAAAAAAGTGGGAGCTGGGAACTGTGAAAACCTCAAGTATGTAGGACTGATTTGCAAGGGAAATGAACTGGACATAAACCATAGTTTTTACCCACTGCTGAATCTGCCCGCTCTCTTTTCACTTAATGGACTTTCAGTTATGTCCTCTGACTATTTGACCAAATGTTGTTTTTTCACTGATGGCAAAAAAAGATAAAATTAGAAATGACTCCCAAATACATTCAGTTTTAGATTTCTATGTGTTCAGATCAAGTTAAAATGGAATGCAGTGGCATTGATGGAAAAGCCACAAGACTCTTATTTATGGCATTTTCTCTTTCAAAGCACTCATATCCAATTCAGTTTTAGTAGCACCACCCAATTGAATGAATTGATGAGTCTTATTTATTCATTTCTATCTGTTTTTTTTTTTTGCTAAAATTAATAAAAACCAAAACCAAAATCGACTTATTTAGTTCCTCATGGATGGACAAGCACGAGGCAGTAGGAAAAAAATGGAAGGAAACTAAAAATCAGTTATTTCCTCAACAGCTCCTTTGGACCTTAAAGAAGAATAAAATGTTTGAGCAACTAATTCATTTAAAAGTTGCCATCTGTTTGTGCTTTAACAACAAAAACATTTTTATGAAGAGGGATCAACAATCAAAGCTCTTTTTAATAATAAAATTAAAAAATCTTAGTCTTTAACCAGGATTAAAGATTTTAAAAATCCCTTCTTAACTAAGTATTTACAGAAGTGGTTCCAGATAATTTTGGTTGTTTATTTCTACTTTACAAGACAATGATCTAAAGTTATTTTCAACAAAGTAATAGAATAAGAATAAAAATAATTTTAGGAACATTCTTTTTTCATTCCAACAGAAATACCTCAAATGTTGGGTATCATTACATGTTATGATCAATAACTATGCTTATCTGCAGGCAAACAGTACACTTAAAAAAAAACAGAACTTAAACACTTTGACATCTGGTCATGTTCAGTTCCCCGAACAGTTGTCCACAGTCTTTCACTTTCTTTTTTCATTTGTTCTCTCCTTTTCACTTTTTCTTGGCACATCTCGTTTGTGAATGGGGTGGCAGCATAGCTGCTCATCTTATTTCCACAGCTTTAAGACTTGTTGATTAGTAACTAAGGCTGTTTTCATTGTCACAGCTTTATGCTTTTGTTGAACTGTGGCATTGTTCCACAGTCATGTACTTTGATCATTTTCATTTGAAGCTGATGAAGCTAAAATCTTCAGTTTCATCTCCTTTCACATTTGATTAGGATGTGTTTGGATCTAAGTGGAAAGACACTGGCTAGCTCGACCTCAATAAGATTCTGTCTGTTTCTATTGTAATTCAAGATGGTATGATATGAAAAAAAGAAAATCACTTGTTGTGCATGCATGTTAAGGCACTATATCTGTTGTTTGTATTTTATTTACTGACATCAATTAATTCAATATGGCTTTAATCTAAAGCAACACAAGCAGGGTCTTTATGTGAGGCTCACAATCATTAATTCAAAATTATTATGTCAAGTAGGGAATCTCTCTTCTGGCTGATGTAATTAAGGGCAATGAATTAGCATATTATTACCCCCCCCCTACACACACTCACATTGTTACCCTGTCCCACAGCCCCAACACCCACACAAGTTGCACTCCTCTGAAACCAATGAGACTGAAGAGAAAGAGGGAGAATGAGCCAGTATGAAGAGTTCTGTAAAAACCCTGGAATGCCGAGTGTGGGAGGCACATTTGCCACAAAATTTTCATGCTACCAATGTACAGAGGTATAAAAAGTAAAGACAAAGAATGGATGGGAGGACTGAACACACCAAACTATGTAAGGGGAGAGAAATCAGAGGGATACAGATGGGAGGCTGGAAAATCTCAGGTAGAAAGAGAGGAACAAAAAAACTTGGTCCTGTTTTTTTTTTTTGCAGAGTTGCTTGGCAAAAAAATGCAGTAGGGACAGCAGGCCCAGTTTTAAATGTTGCTCAGTGTTGGCAGAGCCCTGTGTGAGTGTACTCTGTGGGAGCATCGAATCTTGTCGCCTAGCACAACATGGTGATTCACACACAACAGCAGAAACCATCAAAACCCATCTACCCTAGCAGTGTGTATATTACCCACAAGCCCGCTTTTCTCACAAGGTTATATACCGTAGGAATGCATTTTAATACTGTGTCTGGAGAGCACTTTTTCTGCGTTCAGAGCCGTACTAAAGCGGAAAGTACACCGCAACATATTAGGTGACCATTGCAATATTTATTTAATATGCATATGATCAGCAACACATGTTGATCCTCTCACACTTGATAGCGTTTGCGGTATGACAAAGAGCAGTGTAGAGAGGGGAAGAGGAAAAAATAGGGAAGAGTTTGTTCTCCCATGTGGTTTTGGCCTCTTCTGAGGAGCTTGGAGCCATGCCAGTCAATCCTTGGTTCAGCCTTTGATATGGATGGGATTCATTATGTAACTGAATCTATTGTCAAAGAATAAAATAATATGGGGCCACAAGGGAAGTATGTTGTGCAAAGACCTGAAAAAGAAACAAGTGAAATGCCATTTGCTCCACTGTATTCCAGCTTAGCCGTATGAACAGGGATTCCTCATGAATGTGCATTTTCTCTTAGGTGTTTTTCTCTGTTTAAAAAAAATCTGAAATAACAATTTTCTTAATTTGTTATTTGCCCATTTGCAATTAATACGTTTAAAGACTGATCTGAATTATGGAGATTGCTTTGACCTATTAGTGTCCAAGAACGATAAAAGGGTAGTATCAAAGGGATTCTCTCGAACATTTATGAAAAGGCAAGCTTCCTCTCTCTGACATCTCCCAACAGTAAAACCTGACACTAGATTATTCATCTGAACTAAACGGGACTGTAACAAAAAGAGAAATAACCATGATGCGGCATTTAGCTTTTTGAGGCCATATCTCCTGTTTTCCTGGGTATAGGGCCTCATCAGGGCCGGGGAACAAATGTTACGAGACGAGGCATTTGCCTTTTAGTAGTCTGCTGAGTTCATTATGGTAGAGCTTTGGTGAGAGCAGCAAACCTCAGTGTGGTATCAGAGGTCACCATGTGCACAATGCTCTGGCGTCTTCTGCCTGACGGTGACCCTCGCTTAGTCTAAAACACAAGGAAAAAGGATGGGACGGAAAGCAAGAGAAAGTTCCTTGGATCAGTGTTTTATAATGTAATCCATCTCTTTGCTGTAAATAGGCTTGATTTGACTGCAGTAGCAAAATGCTGCTTGATGCAAATTGAGGCAGCAAACTATATTTGGACAAGCAGAGGCTGATAGTGATTTGAATGAATGAAAATGAGATCAGTATGTTTGCTGTTTGACGGCACCATATTTGAGGTTGGAAGATAACGCACACTCAAATTTTACCACCAGTATAGCGCGTTACTGGTGTTGCACTCCAAACTTGGTGTTTTGCAATGTCATTGGCTGAAGGAAAAAGGAATGGCTTGCTATATGTTAATGGTCAAAGATGGAATTTGAG